ACAGAGAGAGGGGGGCAGAGGAGAACAGATGGAGGCGACAGAGAAGAGAGCGAAGAGAGGGTGGTGGAGCAGGGGACAGAGAGAAAGAGAAAAAAAGCTCACGAGAGACAAAAAAGGAGAAGCAGAGAGAGAGAGAGAGAGATCGTGAACGAGAGAGAAAAGAGGGGTGGAGAGAGGCATGAGAGGGGGACAGGAGAGAGGGGCAGGAGCTGAGGGTGAATAGAGGCGGGCAGAGAGCACGAGAGAACGAAGCGGGGGGGCAACGTGTGGGAGGTAAGAGAGAGAGAGAGAGGGCGGCAGAGGAGGAAGAGAGCGGGGGGCAGCAGGAGAAAGAGGAGGGAGAAAACAGAGAGAAGGAGACCAAGTGACGAGGAGAAGAAGAGACAGAGAGGGGCGGAGCAGAGAGAGGAAAAGCAAAGAAAGACAGGAGAAAGCGAAGAGAGAGAGGGGCGTGCGGGTACGGCGAGGGAGGAGAGAGAAAAGCGGATACGAGAGAGAGAAATGAGATGGAGAGGAGACCAGAGAGAGAAGAGAGGAATGAGAGTGAGTGACAGAGCAGAGGACAATTTTAAGCAGATAGAGAGAAGAGACGAGAGAGAGGGAGCAGACGATGAGAAAGATGAGGGACACGGAGAGAGGGGGGGGCGGGGCAGGAGTAGAAAAAAATGGAGAGCGCGCGCAACAGCGAGCAGGAAGAGGAGACCCGGGGCGGACAGAGAGAGTAAGAGCAGAAGGCAGAGAGAAGACAAGAGCTCCTGGATGCACTCGAAGGAGGAAAGAGAGAGAGAGAGAAGGGGAGAGAGAGATGGGAAGAGAGAGAATGCCAGGAGAGACGAGAGTTAAAAAAGGGCGCGGGGGGGGGGGCAGGGATCAGAGAGAGACGGGTAACGGGACAGCGCCGCGAGTGGAAAAGATCGATTGCGGCGGTGGCAGAGAGTAGGAAGAGAGAAGAGAGAGAAACGAGAGAGAGAGAGAGAATCGAGAGAGGAGGAGAGAGAGAGGCAGGAGAGAGGAATTAAAGCGAGAGATGGCAAGGACCAGAAAGAGAAAAAGAAGAAGTTAAAGAGAGGAGTAGAAGAGAAATAGAGCGGACAGAGGAGAGATGCGGGAGACAGAGAGAGCAAAGATGGAGGCGTACAGAGAGATGAAGAGAGAGGGTGGGGACAGAGAGTAACGGAGAGATTAGGCAGAAGAAAAAAGAGCGTGCGCGAGAAGAGAGGAGAGACGATGCGGAGAGAGAGAGAGGCAGAGGGAGAAAGATGAGACGAGACGAGGGACAGAGAGAGAGGGGGCAGGAAAGGAGAAACGATGGAGATCCCAGCGAACAAGTGAAGAAATAGTAAGAGAGAAGGGGGACAGATGAAGAAAGAGAGAAGGCAGACGAGAAAAAGAGAGCGAGCGGCGCGAAACGAGAGGGGCGAGACTGTTGAAAGAGGGGCGGCAGAGGAGAGAGGGACGGGACGCGAAAGGAAGCAGCGAGGGGGGGCCAGAGAGAGAAGGAGAGTGAGAGAGAGAGACTGAGGAGGAGGACGGAGAGAAATGAGAAGGAAGAGAAGGACAAGAGAGAGCAGGAGGCAGAGGAGAAAGATGGCGACGGGCCGGCCAAAGAGAAGAAAGATGTGGAGCGACAGAGGAGAGGAAGAGAGAGGAAGAGACGAGGGGGGACATGAGAGAAAGAGAGAAGCGAGAAGAAGAGGAAGGCCAGAGAAAGAACGACGCAGCGCAGGAAAGAAAGAGGAGGGATGGAGACGAAGGAAGAGAAAGAGGGGGGCAGAGAGAATAGAGGGCAACAACAGAGAGAGGAAGTGAGCGAGAAGAGAGAGAAGAAGAGCCGACAGAGAAAATAAAAGAGGAGAGCGGGTACAGAGAAAGGGTGTATAGCAGAGAAAGAAAGAGGGGGCAGAGAGAGAAAGAGAGAGTTGGGCAGGCGATGAGAGAGTAGAGAGAGACGACGAGATCAGACGAGAGAGAGAGGGAGGGAGAGGGGAGAGAGAAGAGAGAGAGACAGAGAGGGACAGAGAGGAGAGAGAGAGAAGAGAGAGAAGCGAGAGAGAGAGAGAGATGAGGAGGAGAGAGAGCGACGAGAGAGAGAAGAGGACAGAGAGATGAGAGAGAGAGAGGAGGGAGTAAGATGAGCGAGATGAGAGGAGATGAGCAGTAGAGCGACGAGAGAGAGGAGAGAATGCTGGCCCTCTACGTTGGTAAGCATGAGCTGTTCACTCGCTAGGTGCAACTCACACGTCCGTATATATAAGGAACGTGTTCGTATTTATTAGGATCGGTCGACTGGCGACGCGACTGCCTGCCGACTGGCGCACCTAACCGTAACGCGGCGCCATGGACCCGCAGGCGCTTAGCGAGGCATTTGACACTTTGCTGTCTTCCAATCACAGTCCACGGCCGCCCTTTATGCATCAAAATTTGTGAGTACATATCATTCGAACACGGATCGCCGATCTCAGGAACTAGGGCATTCTGCTAGCGCCTTAGAACGGTCTTCATACGATTAGAGTTTGGAGCCCAAATACGGAATATAACACGCTGTTTTGCGCACAGCTGCTAGTTCTTTTCTTTCATTTGGCAGTTATTGTAGGCAGCGATAAGCCCGCCTTATTTGTTGATTGGCATGAATGGGGCTGGTCAACGACGTGAGCTGACTCTGACCTACTGTTCAAGGCCGTGACTTTCGTAATATATGAAGATGCCGCGCCGATGCATTTCGCAATCAAAGAGAAGAAAATTCTGCATTTTTCACTCGCTATCGCAAAGTCAACGAGCGCGTCATTCAGTAAACATTTGTTTATTCTAATTTATCACTCTTGCTTCTATAGTTGAGTTTCCACAACTCTTGCTCTTTTGGCCCATAATAATGATTACGAATTACGCTATGTGATTAGGTTGGTTTTCAGCGCACAGCTGTCTGCCATAACTGGCTTCGAGTCAGTAGGTCATTCGACGAACGAGCAGGTGTGGACGTTAACGGTTCTTTTGTGCTGGACTTTTGCTAGCAGCGCGATGCCGTACGCGTAGACGTTTGTGGAGCGCTCCAGCCTCGCTGGCTGTGATGCGGTTTTAAGTTGTAACTGTTGTTTATGGTATTAACCAGCATTAAACCTATACAATAAATGTTTATAGCTTCTTTACGACGGGACATAAAATATGATTTTATTTAATAATAATTTCATATATTTAATAACATTTTTAGTTCGGACATCGTATCTAGCGTTATAACCTTCCTATATTAAATCCCTTAGGTATGAATTTGCCGCGTGAATATTGTTTCATTAGCTTGGTTGCCTATTAATCACCTCATCCTTTCTTGTTGTGAATTTTACTATAAACTATTATATTGTTTTTGTTTCATATATTAATTCTAATCTTTTGATCTCAGCTAATCTGGGGCCTAACCGACGAGGCTCTCCGACTGGTTACACGTGTCAGAACAGTAGCAATTAGCTGTTAAGCGAGTATGGAATTGTGGCTAATCTCGAGCATGACTGATGTGATTTTTATTATATGTATAACCGTCTAATTTCTAGAATATTCGTCGATATATCATTGTCATCTTCTAAAACTACAGACCATCCGCTGAGCCGCTGTGGAGACGCTGGCGCGTGCTCGGAATTTGGCGCCGTCTCACTGCGGACAGCGCTTGCATACATTGACATCCCGGCGCGTCGCGTTGCGCAATATCCGCGACTGCGGTCTTCATCGCGCGCAGCGCTTAGGATCACAGCCAAAGCTGCTGCCAGCGCAATCTTGTATTATGTCTCTCTGGCTTTACTCGGAATAAACAGTGGGCAACTGGACGCACTAGGCGCCTGACTGATCGCTTTCAGTTGCTCAAAAATCAAGTTGCTCTCCGAGTCGAGTCGGCTCGCAAGCCTGATATAAGCCTCAGTCTTACAGCTACGTGGCTGGCCCATGACATGTACAAAAATCAAGATAAATATCGTATAGTGTTAGGATAAGCAGCCCTACTGCCGTAGAATGATGTTATATTGCGGTTGTGTATACATGTAAGTATGACGCCGGAACTGCTCTGTGCATCCCAACCACGACTGCAAATATTATATAAAATGTAACTGTATTATAAAAATTAATGTAACACGTCGTTGTCTTTGTCTGAATATGAGCACGACTTCTCGCCAATAGCTGTTACATCATTTGCTTCGCGGTTTGTTTTACGCTGATGATCATAATCCGTGGTGTCGCTTGCTCTGTGTTATTCAGCATTCTATGTACACTCTGGCTATACGCAGTGTTTGTGATGGTGTGTGTTGTCCGCAACTGAATGTTTGATCCCGACGCGAAAGTTATGTGCAACTAACCGAGAACAGAAGCTGACAAATACAACAAGATTAGGAATGAGTAGCAGAATTCTCATTTATTTTACCCAAATTATTTAAACAAATTCGCCGAACTTGAATACAACCATTGAAGCATAAATTCCATGTTATTATTATACACAACTTATAATATAAAATTATTATTTCGTATTTTGCATTTTAATCATCATTTTTACAAGCTAGCGGCGGCCAGTCCCGTCCTATGCGGCGGGGTAGCTCTCTGGATGGCGGCTGGACGGCTGCGACGGCCTCCGTCGTGGGCGCGTCGGCGGGTATAGCTGCTATGCGCGCGGGCGTAGCTCTCTGAGATGCGGTGGCGGCCCCTGCGCCGGCTCCTCATGTCTCGCGGCGAGCGGATTAGCTGCTTGCGGCGAAGTAGCTCTTCTGGAGGCGGCGGCGCGGTGCGACGGCCTAGCGCGGCTCCTCCGTGGCGGCGGAGGATATAGCTGCTATGCGGCGGGTATGCTCTCTGCAGGCGGCGGGCGGGTGAGACAGGCCCTGTGGCGGCTCTTCCGTGACGGCGGCGGTTATAGGCTGCTATGCGCGAGTCCCGGTAGCTCTCTGGAGGCGGTGAATCGCGCCATGCCGGACGAGTCTCCGTGGCGGAGGGACGGCGGGTATAGCCGCTATGCGGCGGCAGGCTATGGCGGGGTAGCTCTCTGGAGGCGGCGGGCGGTGGACGGCCCTGCGACGGCTCCTCCGTGGCGGCGGCTATGTAGCAGCGGCCGTATCGGCTGCTCTGTGGGGTGGAGTTCCGTCGGTGGTTCACAGAATCAGGGTGTGCCCCGAAAACTGGTGACGTGCACGAACAAGGACAAAAAGAGAAAAGGACAGACCACTGAACTATAAGAGACTACGAAGGATGGCAGCGCGATTTATCCCGGCACACAGCAGGATTGTTTTAGACAATGTGATACGGTCATGCTATACGATTTGATGCAGTCCTGGTTTATGTATTTGCCCTGCATAGATGCGTGTATCACGCGCTCGGTTTTGAATGAGTGCGCCGGTGTTTATTCAGTGAACTGCAGGCAGTAAACTTGCATCCACACTTGTCACACGCAAATGGCTTCTCTCCCGTGTGAGTGCGCATGTGTGTCATGAGATTAGTGGAGGTCCTACACCTGTACTCACATAATTATATCGCACGCATACAGTTTCTCTCCCGTGTGAGTGCGCGTGTGTGTCTTGAGACTAGCGGAGGTACTAAATCTGTATTCACACTTGTCGCATGCAAATGGTTTCTCTCCCGTGTGAGTGCGCATGTGTACCTTGAGAATACTAAGGGTATATCTGTGTTCACATATAACGCACGCATACGGCCTCTCTCCCGTATGAGTACGTATGTGTGACTTAAGCATAGCGGACGTAGAACACTTATATTCACATATCTCACATGCAAATGGTTTCTCTCCCGTGTGAGTGCGCATGTGTCTCTTGATAGCAGAGGAGGTCGTGCACTTATAATCACATCTCTCACATGCAAACGGTTTCTCTCCCGTGTGAGTGCGTATGTGTATCGTGAGACTAGCGGAGGTACTAAATCTGTATTCACACTTGTCGCATGCAAATGGTTTCTCTCCCGTGTGAGTGCGCATGTGTACCTTGAGAATTCTAAGGGTAGTATATCTGTGTTCACATATATCGCACGCATACGGCCTCTCTTCCGTGTGAGTGCGTATGTGTATCGTGAGACTAGCGGAGGTCCTAAACCTGTATTCACACTTGTCGCATGCAAATGGTTTCTCTCCCGTGTGAGTGCGCATATGTTCCTTGAGATGACCGAGGGTAGTATATCTGTGTTCACATATATCGCATGCAAACGGTTTCTCTCCCGTGTGAGTGCGCATGTGTCTCTTGAGTATACTAGACGTCACACACCTGTATTCACATGTGTCGCACACAAACGGTTTCTCTCCCGTGTGAGTGCGCATGTGTACCTTGAGTATACTCGACGTCACACACCTGTATTCACATGTGTCGCACACAAACGGTTTCTCTCCCGTGTGAGTGGGCATGTGTAGCTTGAGATGAGCGAGGGTCCTATATCTGTGTTCACATATATCGCACGCATACGGCTTCTCTCCCGTGTGAGTGTGCATGTGTCTCTTGAGTATACTAGACGTCACACACCTGTATTCACATGTGTCGCACACAAACGGTTTCTCTCCCGTGTGAGTGCGCATGTGTAGCTTGAGATGAGCGAGGGTCCTATATCTGTGTTCACATATATCGCACGCATACGGCTTCTCTCCCGTGTGAGTGCGCATGTGTACCTTGAGATTATCGAGGCACGTATATCTGTGTTCACATATATCGCACGCATACGGCTTCTCTCCCGTGTGAGTGCGCATGTGTACCTTGAGATTACCGAGGCACGTATATCTGTGTTCACATATATCGCACGCATACGGCTTCTCTCCCGTGTGAGTGCGCATGTGTACCTTGAGATTACCGAGGCACGTATATCTGTGTTCACATATATCGCACGCATACGGTTTCTCTCCCGTGTGAGTGCGCATGTGTAACTTAAGCATATGAGACTTAGAACACTTATATTCACATCTCTCACATGCAAACGGTTTCTCTCCCGTGTGAGTGCGCATGTGTCTCTTGAGATTAGCGGAT